GTCATTAAGTAATTTGTTTCATTTTTTTAAAATTAAAGACCGTCATTAAGAACGTTAAATTTGAAAGGATAAAACTTAATCATAGCCACATCCAAGAGATGCCACCTTCCCAATAAAATAAGCAAATCAAGAAGAATTGATATGAAAATAACTTGAGAGCATACACAGATAAATAAAACTTAAAAGAAAAAGAAAAAAGTAATCGGCTTCACAACAATTACTTATATGTAATTTCCATAGATATTTATACATATCACATGTCGAATATTACAGCTCTCAACCTAGATTGCGCGCATGCGTGAGACTTGAGAGAAAACCCATGTTAGATTTCAAAAGGAATGACAGTCACTTCTTAGAGAAAATTTTCGTGTTGTAACATACACTTGGAAAATATTACATTTCATATTTTCAGAGAGTGATTTTACCACGGTTTTAGTCGCCTTGATGCAATTCAAAACAATCTTATCAGAGAGGAAATAAAAAAAATGGTACCAAAATTAAGGCCTATTACATATACCTTGTGAAATTATCACGACACTATGCCAAAATGGGTAAACTGCCCATACTACTTTATAAAAGAAAACGAAAGATTAACGCAGTCACTGAAATTCCTCATTGACTCATATCGCCAATTCTGAGAAACCGCTGTGTAGTCGTTTATTAATCTGGATTTTAAATACTTTCACAAATTTAATCCCGGATTAATCTTGGGATGGGTGATTCAAGTTTCAGTTTACACTACAAAATGTATCCTGAGCTTTCTAAGGCAGAAGAACACTTACTATATTTAATCCTGTCTTTCCTGTCGGAGTGAAGAGGCGAGACAATGGTACATGATGACGTAGTCTTATTTTTTTTATGTACATAATTTGTATATATATATATATCCAGTAAGTAAATATGTGTGTGACGTCACGGTAAAGCTCTGTTTTACCTCTATTATTCAGACGACAAGTAAAGCATAGTTATGTACAAGATATCAGAAATTATATTATATTCAACTGGTCCTTTTCTGCATCACAAATGTAGGCAAAGGGTTGTAAAAATCCCCGCACCAAACAACAAAATCTCTGTACATTACCAATATTGTTGTGGGTTTGAGTCATTGATGTCTTACTGGAAAGAAATATACAATGTACATTTATGTATAAAGGATAATTCCTAATGTTTCTTTTTCTGGAAACTTGTCTCTGTTAGATAATTTTGTATTTTCCCTTGTGTTATTGTGTTCTAATTTTTTTTCGTGGAGAGTGGAGTTAATTTAGAATTTGTTCTGGTTCAAATATTAACAAGTCATTTGATGATTTTGAAAAAAAAACAGTTTTCTGAACAATGATTATGTTGACATGTTGGTACTTTCTTGATGTTTTTTTTTTTTTGTAGAAGTTGAGGGTGCTCGTGGCAAAATTTTCTCTCTAGTCTAGTGGTAGAGTGTCTATTGTTTGATAGGTTTTCTGCCAGCAAACCAATGCACTACTAGCCATATCTCCAGAAAGAAAGAAAACCGACGTCTACAGCCTCCATGTTCCTGGACTCAAGCCTTGGCATCCAGATATCCACTGATCTCTCCTGCTTCCTGCCGAGAATGTATCGACAACACATCCGTCCAAACTACCAGATCCCTTGGATGCCTGTGAAGGAACTTACAAGGTTGTAAGTTGGAGATGTGACAGAAATAAAAACGTAGGTCTACACCACCTTGGTAACATCTGTTCGTAATGGGATCTCCATATTCAGCGTCATTTTGACCAATCCGAGAGGGTTCTGAGACAAGCTGCAAGATTTGCAACTGGTAATCACTACAGAATAGAACATTGCTGTGTTCAAAACATATTCCAACGATAGGAGAAGAACCATAACATCAGAGACACGCCAGGAGCAGATCTAGAGTCATCATGTTCTACCAGGTCATAATCAGTTTACTTGTCTCGGAGTTTAAACACTCTAATTGAGTCCACTCCCTACCAGAAGAAGAACTGTAGAAGTTTTGGCTAGTGGACTAGACATTAAGATATCCAGATAGAGACGGAACCCCATTGAAAGCAGTGTACCCCCCGATGCTATTGCCGATCAAAGTGAACTCCTCGATGCCATTTGCCAGTCCAAGTGTACTCCCCGATGCCATTGGCCGATCAAAGTGTATTCGTCGGTGCCATTGGCCAATCCAAGTGTGCTCCCCGATGCCATTGGCCAGTCCAAGTGTACTCTCCGATGCCATTGGCCGATCAAAGTGTACTCGTCGGTGCCATTGGCCAGTCCAAGTGTGCTCCCCGATGCCATTGGCCGATCAAAGTGTACTCGTCGGTGCCATTGGCCAATCAAAGTGTATCCCTCGATGTCTTTGGCCAATCAAAGGTTAACGATTGTAGTGTTGTCTGTATCAAATCTGACTTGTGTGCTGATTTGTGAAGGAGGGACATATCACTCACCCGGGCACCACTAGTAGGAGTTCCCTTTTAGTCAAGCGACAGAGTCATGCAAGTGACTTTGGGCTGGTAGTTCGATACCCAGCAGGGGCAGGTGCATTTCATTACTGCTTCATATTACATCATATAACTCCAGATCAGAACTTCAGTTTGTATACTTGTTTAAAACTGCCGTTCATGGATGATCACATGACCCAGCCGTCAAAGGGTGATCACATGACCCAGCCCTCCAAGGGTGATCACATGACCCAGCGCCCAAGGGTCATCACATAACCTAACAGTCCAAGGGTCATCACATGACCCAGTCGTCCAAGGTCATCACATGACCCAGGTCGTCCAAGGGCCATTACATGACCGAGTCATTCAAGGGTCATCACATATGTAATTTGTCTAATTTTGTTGGGTTATTAGTCATTTTCAATTTTCTTGTCCACTTCTGTAATATATTACACAGATGACTTACTGACAGCTAGCTAGGAAGCAGAAATACTAAGAGAAAAACTTTAGACTACAGCTTACTTGATTCCTGTGTACCTTCATTTGCTGTTACAGCAAGTAAACTCAGAAAAAAAAACAATAAAAAAAAAAAAACATATAAAGAGAACAAACAACAAATGAAGTCCAATCTAATTTTATACAAATATTTTTTTAAAAAATTGTATGAAACAACACTACAACCAAATCCCCTCATAACCTGTGTAACACATTCTTACACACCAACACATGTACACCAAAACCTTCTCATATACATATTGTACACACACACGCACACACACGTACACACTATGCCATATTCTCTGAAATTAAACTTGATAGTTGAGGAATCATATCACACTGGTGCCGTAGCTGATCTATGGGATACACAACACTATAGAATAAGTGTGGAATTCACAACACTTTAGATACACAGTATGTGATATATAATGATACGAAAGCTCTGTCTGGTCCATCGCTGGAAAAGATGAAAATTTATCAATTTTTTAGAAACTAGTTGGAAAATACCGAAAAAGATGGGCTTTTAGCAACAACCTGAATAACTGTCAAAAATAAGATTTGTAATCAATGCTGTGGAATATACCCTTATCTGTATACTGTTACATACCACAGACCAGCTCGAGCCTATGGATATTTTCACCTGTATAAAATGACATGAGACTACCTAAAATGAATAAAATATCACATATTTATATGAATGCACACTTTATAGTATGTACACTTCAAATTCATTGGAAAATATTATAATCTTCAAAAAAATTATCTAGTGCATGAATCTCCCGAAACAACACAGCTGGTATGATGAAATTATTTTAAGAAATTCAATGAATCATCAAGCTGGTACACCTCCCAATCTAGATTTTGACATATTTTTTTATCACTTCAGTTACTTCCTTGACATAAAATTTTAAGCCCTTGGCAGTACTGACCAGTCCTAGAAGGACATAACAGCTGTATGATGCAGTTAAATTCATTGTTTGGCTTTTATTTGTATTAAAAGTGCTATTCACTTATGTGGTTTTTTTTTTACAATCTTTGGTTTATAGAAATAGGTATAAGAAATTCTGCAAACAAATTCAGTACTGGCCAATAATATATTCAACTTCCATTACAAATTTTCAATAGATTTTCAGATTTCACTTACAAATATCTGCAATAATTTATTTTTGGAATTTAGATTATGGCAATACCGTAAACATACCATTTTTAGTGGTAATCTGGGTTTTTTTTTCTCGTTCAAAAATCGTGCTAAAATATGATAGCATTTATTGCAGTTTCTGTATGATACAATAATTATTTTAAATTTATCATCGTACTTTCTTGTTAAAAGTTAATACATTAAAATTTGATTTCACCAAAATAAGAACAATTACAGTATCTTATTTTTTGTAGTGTAAAAGAACAAAATTGACATTATGGAATTGCTCCAAATTTTTACCCCACATCATACACAAGTAGGTATAAGAACACATTCCTTAACTATGTATGTGTATTTTGTTTTCTGGAACAAAGTCCCTTTATAACCGGAAGTCTTTATTAGGTCCTGTTTTTTCATACATATGATGAGCTAAACCTGGTAGATAGAATAGAAGTTCTTATAACACAACCAGTAAAGATTTGTATGCAGGCATTTTGATAACTACAAGATGGAAAGGAGTCGACTTACTGTTTCAGCAGTACAATAATTCCATGTACACTAAGGTCAAAATTAGTGTGACGAGATGGTAAACAGATTATAGACCAAAAACTGCACAAAATGGTAACAATGCACTGCAGTCAATTTGACTACGCTTTGTTCAACACTTGGTCAAAGATGTGTGAGAATCTGTGGCCCCCCTCATCCCTGTTCAGTACTGGCCCACTGTGGTGTATTCAGATGGCTTCCTTAACCAGTGAAAAGGTTGTTTTCCCTTTTACTATTTTGGAATTTCTCCAGTCAGTGATATGATTTTGCTGTGTGGAATAATCTGTAGGTCACACTCCAATCTTCTACTGGTTGTGTTATAAGATTTCTATTCTATTGACATTAAAAACCTGAAGAAAAATGTTCTGAAATAGAACTAAACTTGTACAGTCCTACATGTTGCATAGTACTATGTTGAATTTAAGATATCACCAGAAAAGACGATGAATACCATTTCTGTTATATCATGTTCTGAGTACCTGTAGTTATAAAGATTAATAACATTCCCTAAGATAAAAATAAATATAATTTAGGATGATATATCACCATAACCATTTCAGTAACAAAAAGGCACTATCGCTCTCAGAAACTCCTTGATGATTCAACATTGGAATGGCCCTACATCTTCCAGTAATTCTATAATTGTCAGACAACTCCAAAATGAATCACATTGGCAGAGTTGTCATCCTCTTCAGTCTGAAAACAATAACAAAATACTATAATATAATATAGGAATTACATGTAATTTTGTCTCATCTAGCCTGTTTTGTTAATGTGGTCATGCTTCATCAAAACTTTTACAAAAATCACTAAAATCCTCCCCCTCTCAAAAAATGTCATAATAATATCATTTAAAAACACAATTTGTAAAGACCATATATACTTCGTCATGTTTGAATACTGATGAATTGTAAAACATGAAATGAAAGTTTTGAAAATTCACAAAAGTGACTAAACTTTAAGTTTTCCCCAAAATACCACTCTTCCCAAAATGGAAAAGTTTTCCCAATATTTTTCAGTACTTGTTTCAGTATGACTATAAACTAAATCTGAAAGGACATATCAGTCATTTCTCAAAATCTTAAGACAATGAAGACGCCAGAAAAAATACAAATAATGGAAAAAATTTAATTTGAATAATCTACTTGACGGGTTAAAATGTCCATACTATAATGCACCCATATTCCCTTCATGAGAAACTGAACTTTATGTTGAAAGTACAGCTTCTCCATAGCATCTGTAAGTTTCAGAGTTGCTGGGCCATAAAAATCTGGAAGATATTTTTTTGAAAAGATGGTTGTGTTGAAGTATCCTTCAGATGATCTATCTGTATGTAAATGTACCAAGTTTGGTTGAAGTAGGACTAATACTGTTTGCATGATGGATCTGAACACAAAACTTTAAAGTGGAAATATAACAGTCTCCTTTTTGCTACATTTTGTTTATGGCAAAACAAAACCTGCAGTACATGTACTGTCACTGTACTTACTTAGCACAGTGTCTATTACAAACCTGTATTACATGTACTGTCACTGTACTAACTTAGCACAGTGTCTGTTACAGAAAATAATCAGACTTATCTAACCAAATAAAACCAGTCCTCAGCGCTAACATATACTATATCACTCTGTACACTATAATATGTGAAAATATATAGCAGTTGCCATAACTTTTCCCATACAATGGTGAAATTCCAGGATAACATAGAAGGGAGATAATCCAGTTTGAAAATACTTACTTCTGGATTTGGGGAATCCTCCTGTGGATGGTGATGCAGCCCTATAATAAAGAAAATTTACAGGTTTATGGAAATTCTCTAAATTCAATAAAGACATATATATAATTATACATATACCCAGGTTATCATTACATTTCTATTTGTTACTGTGTAGTCGTTTAATTTCCTGAGTTTGGCAAATTTAGAGTTATTAAATTTTACCCATGTCTCAAATGTTTCCAATACAGAGATGAAAAGACCCATTTCCTCACCATTCTGTTTCAGTAGGAAAACATTTGCTGGGTAATTAAATTTTTTGACAGTTTTTAAGTATTACAGTATTACAATCCATCAAAGGTCAGAACAAAATTTGCATTACCTTGACTATTGTTTTAATAGGAATACAAATACAGATGTAGTGCATTAGAAGCAACACATTTAGGTCAAATGTGATCAAATATGTCTATTTAGGTCTCGACACTTAATTGAAATGTAGGATCTTTTATGAGCTTTCATGAATATGAGTTTATCTAACCAATCCTTGGCAAGGTGAATTGAAAAATTTGTAACAAGTTTTATAAATTAAATATGAAATGGAAACAAATGCAAGATTCTGTTTCTCACACAACTTTGATACTTTTCCAAATATTTGTGAAAACTTTATTTAATTAGACTGATAAAAAATCTCAATTTGTGATATTTTTACTCTTAAAATCTTTCCCTTAAGCGACATTACAATGCACATGGTGCAATGAAGCTGCAACGTCACACTTGAAATAATGAGAAAATCAGTCAACCATATATACAACTTGTATTATTCAGCACAGATATCAACAAACAAATTTTATTATCAATTCTTAAAGTGTAAAAGACAAAGCAATATTACCAACTTAGAAAATATCTTAAGCCTGAAAACAATCAAGAGAAGAGCTCTTCACCTGCTGTATGTATCCAGGACGGGTCGTCTATACGTAAAGCATCTGTGTAGTCCTGTATGAGGTCCGACTCGACTCCGACATCGTCTGGATATGGCAGGTACCTGTATCAGTCATAGAGGTCAACTTCATTCAACATTCAAATGTAGAAAGGAACAAAAGGATAGGTGTCTTTTTTATTTTATTCTAAACTCACCTGCTTTTCTCTCCTTCGATTGTTATAGGGGTCCAGTTGAAATTTGTAAAATTGATTTGAATCAAATTATATGTTGATTAATAGATTAAGATTTTGTTACAGTCTTCATTCATCCTTCAAAGTTGGTCAAGGTTAATCATTTTGATCACAAATATTATTATTCTTAATATCTGTAATCTACATTTATAAATCTAAGCTTCTTCAGAGAGCAAACAGATCTGTTCCTAACCAAATTCAAGGCAGTTTTAAGATCCTGAAGGTCATAGGGTACATGACAGATTCAAGGTATTTCTAGGACTTTTATTAAAGGACTTTTCAAGACTGCACAATGATTGTGATTCTTGGTGATTTAGCAAATGTTAGTTTTGATTTCATGCACAAAAGCAAGTCACTAGGATACATACCTGTTGGTAGCTGTGTCAGAGTGCTGACTAGGATACATACCTGTTGGTACCTGTGACAGAGTTCTGACTAGGATATATACACACCTGTTGGTACCTGTGTCAGAGTTCTGACTAGGATATATAAACACCAGTTTGTACCTGTGTCAGAGTTCTGACTAGGATATATACACACCTGTTGGAACCTGTGTCAGAGTTCTGACTAGGATATACACACACCAGTTTGTACCTGTGACAGAGTTCTGACTGGGATATATACATACCTGTTTGTACCTGTGACAGAGTTCTGACTAGGATATATACACACACCTGTTGGTACCTGTGTCAGAGTTCTGACTGGGATATATACATACCTATTGGTACCTGTGTCAGAGTTCTGGTGCCTATATCCTTGTGTATAAGCATAGTCTGGTTGCCATGACGTTGGACTTTGGTTGTAATTCTTAAAAAAAGAAACAAACCATAACCCTTCAGAATTACTGTCTTCTTACATATATAAATATACTTATTGCATAAATTTACATAATTATTATATCAATCATTACTGACATACATATGTACAATGTCTCATTTGTTTATTTGTTGGGTTTATCACCCTATGAACTGCCAGTGTCATTTCAGGCAGGGTTTTCCTTTAGGATCACTATGGATTGGAATCGTAAAACCTTGCACCTTGGCAAACACTCTGTACCATCTGAGCTATCCTGGCCCCTTAACTTCTATATGTTTCAAGAGAAAGGTACTATACATAACACTACCTCATAATTATAATGATAATGTACAGGTGTGATTGTTTGCGTATACCTATCCTGTTGTGAAAAATTTTACCAAAACCCTGTTACTATGTATGTCATTCCTCATAAACAGGTGTTTTCATAAAGGACATTCTATTTAGTGTGTCATAGGAGATATATCACATTCCTAAATATAAACAGGCACATTTATTCATTTTTTGTATTTTTGTTTTAAAGCACAATACAATATAACCTCGTGCTCAGAACTTGAAACGGTCCAGGGATGCGACAGCGCAGTCTGTACAACCTTGGCCTATAGTAAACCTTTCTACGCTACCCGTTTGTGTTTCTCAAGAAGTTGAGAAATGGACTGGTCTGTGTTGTCATGGTTATGTCCTAGGGCAAGATACTTTAACCCTAATTGACCTGTATGACATGTGATGGGCCTCCAGTATGTTGTTCACTGAGGAAGCTACAGCACTACAAAGGAGACCCTGCCTCAAATTGACCCCGACTATTCACAGCTTGATAAAAACTAACATATGAACAAAATTAAAATAGTCATTTCTGAAATCTTTTATAACACAATGTACCATTATTTTGCTTTAAACATAACATTTTTGTCCAAAAATATCATGTTCAGTGATAGGCCCATGAATCTTCAGTCTGCCTATAAAAATGTTGGCTGGGTTATTATTTTTGGCAGAGCAACATTATTGTGATGAATATCTGAAACCTAGTACCCAAAAGAACATATTTCAATAATCTTTCCTTTTTTTTTCTATCCAGTGCTGATCAGAAACTAACAACGCCCCATACTCTTACTGATAATAATCTCATTTAATTTATGATAGGGAGAAAGAAAAGTTATTAAATTGTTTACAACGTTCATAAATATTGTTTCTTCCTTTTAAAATTACAGCAAGTCTTAATATAAATCGTTTTCAAACATAACATCTGACAGCTAAATAATGACAGGGAATTAAGATCGCTTTACTGTATGTTGTTATCAACTACATTGAAATCTGACAACCAGGGTCTGTACAGGTATTCTATTTACACAAACACCTGTACATTACACAAGTACGTTAATTCAGGCAATAAAACATTGACACAATATTTCAACCAGGAAGTAAAATTTCTTTCAATAACAAGAAGGCTGGCAACATATTCAAATTTGTCAATTAAACTTAAGTGGGTCTTTACTTGGTCTGGTAAATGTGGATTTTGAAAAGAAAGGAAAAAGAAATTGCGTGCTGCTGAAAATTCTGAAGTCATCTCGAATATGATATTAGATGTGTAGATTACATTTGTACATAATATAATACGATCAGGACCTCAGCTATTTCAGTTTATAGAGAGCTCACATTTGCCTGACTTGATCTGGCTATCTAAGTATATAACTGACTTTTATTTTGATATTTGGATTAACATTGAGATGTCACAGATTTCCAACCGGACTGTTTTACGTGCACAGACTGCGATTCGTGCCCCAGGTAGCTCTCAGTGTAATCTACATCGTGAACATGATGTGGCTTTTGTGTGCAAGGACTGTGAAGGAGACTTACTGTGTTCGCAGTGTGTCAAACAGCACCAACGTCATGCAATTGTGAATCTAACAGATGAGAGAGACCAAAGAAAGCGGATAGATTACTTAAAAACCTTCATCAATCAGATAGAAAAAGACTCACTTAGAAAGTTACAAAAGGAAATTGAGATAACAAAGGAAGAAAAAGTGGAGAATTCAAAACATTTCAAAAACCTTGTTTTGAAAGTGGACAAACGTAGTGAAGAAATAAAAGCCTGGGTGGATGAACTGAAGGTTGGATATATCAAAGCGCTGAAGGAAATGGAGGAGTATAACAGAAGAAAACTGGACAAATATCTGTCCGACCTCAACAAGAACCTAGAGCTGGTCGCAGACTGTGTGAAGAACAGCAAGGATGCCCTTCAGGTTGGAGGTCCTGTACAAATATATGACACATGTACTGAGATCAAATCTTCTGATCTGACACTTCCACGGGTACCAGGGTTAAAATCCGCAGACTTTGCAGAGAATAAGTCTAACGAGCTGCTGGGTCAGCTGAGAGAGATGTTGGGATCATTCACTGGTGAAATCAACATCACAGATGGAGTGAAATCAGATCTGCCCTCACCTTTAACCTCAGGAGACAGCTTTACAATGCCCACACCACCCGCCTCCACACCCAAAACACTAGACACGGGAGCAAGCAAATATCCACAACCGACATCTGAAACTTCATCTACCACGCCATTTAAACAGAACTTTGGATATCAACAGAACAAGCGGCAACAACAGTTAACGGAGAAAAACGTACAACAAAATTTACGGAGCAAATTTCAGTAGCTCGCATCCTCTTCCCAAGGGGGAAAACAACCATGGAAGGTAGGAAGATGTGTCCAGTTATAAGAAATGGAAAGTTTACTATAATGAAACACACTCAATGTGTAACAATTTTGTCACGTTAGACTCCCCAATGCTGAGTGAATTTCTCCTTAATTACATTGTTTCTCTGACCTTGTTACTGTGTGTTAACGAGCATTCTTATTTTGCTGGGGGTGTGTTACAAAACAGAATATGATCTGTTTATATCAGCCAAACAGTTTAATGTTCAGTATTGAAAAATGTGACAAAAGTGCAATTTCACAGTTTAAGCAGAATTTTTAAGTAAAAGGATCACCGGAACTCACGAAATGGATAACGATTCACTCTCTTAATTTTTTTTTTCGTTTTCTGTGTAGATGTAGCTCTTGACTGATTTTATTTTATCATTGAAAATAGCAAAATATGGAGAGAAAAAAAAATCCTCAAAAATAGCAATAATTACAGTATCCTGCTCCATGAGGAGAAGACAACTCTGTATCATCGTGAAATATGTCAAGGATTATCATCATACTGCAGATCCCACTACTTCAATACAGATTTAATATTTATTTATTATGATAAGTGAAACAGTGATATATTGTACCTGTGATAAATATGTATTTTCATTGTAATGCGTTATTCTGTAACAAGCCCAGGGGGTATATAAAAAAATCTGAGTCTAAATAACGGGTGGTCTTATTACAGTTCCATGAGTTATCGGTTGATATTACGACTACAATACAGAGAGATGTAGGAATGTTACAAAATATGTAGACAATTGGTCTCCATGACAACCATAACACACATTATGTAAATAACTCTGATAAGCTCCTGTTGGAAAATATCTCCATGCCATACTACCAGTATACAATTTTTCAATAGCCAAAACGGTTTCCCTGATACATGTTGGTACTGATCCAATGAAATTGTTTCCGGAAATCATAGGATGAGGCTTCGGGAAACCTCATGTTTGTTCCAACACCTTGGGGAAACAGTTTGACTGCTGAGTGATACTAAAGGCATGAAACAACCTGTTCCAATCAATTTTATTACTGTATCAATCAAATATCAATATAGGTTTTTTAAAAAAGTACATTATTTTTTTTTATATTTTTTCTTTACAGAAGAAGCCATTCTAGACAATATCTGTTCACATAAAACATCGCAATAAAAAAACTTATTCTTCATCATAATCATTTGATTCAGATGACCTGTTAACAGTTTGTGTAACAATTTTAAAGTAATGAAATAGTTATGAAAATGCTTAATTTACACAGATATATAGAGAATCAGGTCACAAAGTATGATGAAGGTTCAGGAATCCCCCTAACTCCAGTATACCTAGGTACAGGAAGTGATACTGTGACCAGGCTTTGTGTATTTATATGCCTGACAGAGTTATATGTCCTTGTACAGATATATATGACTGATAAATCAAAAGATTTATCACCGTAGATATAAAGACAACATGTCTTAAAGAATGACATGAAAAGGTGTGTTTTTTAATGTCCCTTCAATTTTTGACACCCTGTCCTGTCCTATCCCCCCAGTCCTGTCCTGTCCCCCCGTCCTGTCCTGTCCCCCACCACCCATTCTGTCCTGTCCCCTGTCCTGTCCCCCAATCCTGTCCTGTCCCCTCTTCCTGTCCCATCATGTCCTGACAGAATCAGAATCAATGTCATATATAAAGAACTTCTGATAATGTTAAATGCAAACACTTTACTTTATTTTCCACCATTCGACAACAATTATACCATCTTCTGGCTTTGTATATTGTTTTCAGATAAATCAGGACCTATTCACTTTACCTTTTCATGTTTTTTGTTTTAAACAATGAAACTTGACAAGAAATAGAACATGATCCAAGGACTATATGTAACTTTTATTGTACGAGTCTAAACAATGTCTCATATTGTCACACATATTGTCTCATATATTGTTTTATACTGTCTTTGACAATATAAGTATTGGAGGTTGCCTTTTGTTTGACTTACAATGTATATGTCACATTCACAATATATCCTACATTAAAATTTGACTGGTGAAGTCATAATACGACGTTACATCATGTATTGCAGATGGTGTCACAAAATTGATATCTCTATTCAATTTGTCCTACAAATTTTTATTTTAAAAACCTGTCAAAATTCTGAGTTATATGATAAGAAAAGTTTCTTAATTTTGTTTTTTTCATTTCATGTGAGATTTTGTGAAAATCATCTCAAAGTTTTAATTTCTGTTTGCAAAGACTTAAAAAAATTCTTAAAACTTGTTTCACAAAAATCTCTTATGAAATGAAAAGTTGCTTAAAACACATTATCTGTATGAATTTAAATCATCCATAGCTTCTGTTTGTAACAAAATATAAAATGTGGAGGTAATTTTCTTGTTATCATGTATAACTGAATAAATACATCAATATTTAGAAATGAAGTTGTTTGCACTTTTTTAAAAAAAGTAATGTACCATATTTGTCTATTCTTCAAAATCATGATAAATCATATCCTGTCCACAATTTTAATTGTTGCTGAAACCATTTTGTTCAATAAATACTGGAGATTTACGGGTGTTTTCTTACTAAGGAACTTAATAGTGAAAAACCTCTAAGTTTTGATGACTTAAATTGAATAATTTTTCAGCACATTTCAGTGACATCGCAAAATAAACTATACAGAGAATTGTACATAGTATACCATGAGTATTTATCTCATAATGAATAATTATGTCCATTTGTACCAAACACACTACCCCAACAGGTTAATTTGTACACACATGGAGATAACTTAATGAATATTAATTCTCATTTATTACATTAATTTAACGTAATTAAAACCCCAACAGGTTAATTTGTACACACATGAAGATAACTTAATGAATATTAATTCTCATTTATTACATTAATTTAACGTAATTAAAACCCCAACAGGTTAATTTGTACACACATGGAGATAACTTGATGAATATTAATTCTCATTTATTACATTAATTTAACGTAATTAAAACCCCAACAGGTTAATTTGTACACACATGGAGATAACTTAATGAATATTAATTCTCATTTATTACATTAATTTAACGTAATTAAAACCCCAACAGGTTAATTTGTACACACATGGAGATAACTTAATGAATATAACATATTATTGCTCTCAGTCTTAAAATTTATCCAAATTTATCTATTTTGAATTATAGATGATCTGAACTTTGACCTTAGGTCTGACACAATAATCTATATGGATAATTTGATGATGCAGGATATGTATAGGCCTTACAAACATGTGGTAGACAGGTACTCATAAAGAATGCAGTATCCTCTTGTACAGGACAAGTACGCTACAAATATTTATTTTTTCTCACATATAAGCTGTATGCCTGACTCACAAGGAAAAAATGTTGTGGCTTATAAGCTAGAAATGTATTGATATCACTTTTCCTGGGATGAGATATCTGTCTGAGTTTCTACCAATGAGATTGTTGCTTTTTATTCACTGCATTGAAAGTTATGTTATAGCTCTACTATGTCAAACAATATTCTGTTTTCAACATCTTTTTGGACACAAATTCATTTTGTGTTTGGATCAACTATCTGTTTTATATTTTTTGTTTTTTTTTCTTTCAAATTACCATTTGAAAATGAAATGAAATTAAAATTTAATGATTTCCCATTGAACATAATTTCATATTCACTCATATAACAGATGATATAGAATTCAGATAAACTCTGGAAATATAAAGAATCTTATATTAGTTCTCATTTCAAAATGGCATATTAGTGGCAAATATCCTCAGTCTTGTATCAAACAGGACCAGATGTACACTACTTTACATAACATAAATGTTTAAAGTATATTTCCATGGTTACCTGTCCATTCTGCCCACTGTCTTGGTGATTATTGGGTATCTGACCATTGAATCCATTAAATATCAGATCATCATCCAGTCCATCGAACGACTCTGTCAAAAATATAAACCAGTCCATCAAACAACTGTCAAAAATATAAACCAGTCCATCAAATGACTGTCAAAAATATAAACCAGTCCATCAAACCACTCTGTCAAAAATATAAACCAGTCCATCAAACGACTGTCAAAAATATAAACCAGTCCATCAAACGACTGTCAAAAATATAAATCAGTCTATCAAACGACTGTCAAAAATATAAACCAGTCCATCAAACGACTGTCAAAAATATAAACCAGTCCATCAAACGACAGTCAAAAATATAAACCAGTCCATCAAACTACTGTCAAAAATATAAACCAGTCCATCAAACGACTGTCAAAAATATAAACCAGTCCATCAAACGACTGTCAAAATTATAAACCAGTCCATCAAACGACTGTCAAAAATATAAACCAGTCTATCAAACGACTGTCAAAAATATAAACTAGTCCATCAAACGACTGTCAAAATTATAAACCAGTCCATCAAACGACTCTGTCAAAAATATACACCAGTCCATCAAACTACTGTCAAAAATATAAACCAGTTCATCAAACGACTGTCAAAATTAAAACCAGTCCATCAAACGACCCTGTCAAAATTATAAACCAGTCCAACAAACCACCCTGTCAAAAATATAAACCAGTCCATCAAACGACTCTGTCAAAAATATACACCAGTCCATCAAACTACTGTCAAAAATATAAACCAGTTCATCAAACGACAGTCAAAAATATAAACCAGTCCATCAAACGACTGTCAAAAATATAAATCAGTCTATCAAACGACCCTGTCAAAATTATAAACCAGTCCAACAAACCACCCTGTCAAAAATATAAACCAGTCCATCAAACGACCCTGTCAAAAATATACACCAGTCCATCAAATGATCCTGTCAAAAATATAAACCAACCCATCAAATGATCCTGTCAAAAATATAAACCAGTCCATCAAACGACTGTCAAAAATATAAACCAGTCCATCAAACGACCCTGTCAAAATTATAAACCAGTCCAACAAACGACTGTCAAAAATATAAATCAGTCTATCAAACGACCCTGTCAAAATTATAAACCAGTCCATCAAACGACCCTGTCAAAATTATAAACCAGTCCAACAAACGACCCTGTCAAAAATATAAACCAGTCCATCAAACGACCCTGTCAAAAATATAAACCAGTCCATCAAACTACTGTCAAAAATATAAACCAGTCCATCAAACGATGACTGTTCTCAAAACAATTTGTCCAACAGATGTCAGATAAGAAAAAAGAAACCATCTAGTAAACATCAGAAGACATTTCTATCAGTTATTGTTAAAAAACAGAAATTTTTCATGAGGTTTTTATTTTCGCTGATTCAGCGGATATTCTTTTACAATCAACAAATTCATACATCCATGAATTATTAAAATTAGTATCATCAGATTTATTGAGCTAAATTTATCAATGAAATTAAGTGTCCATGACAACAAAATTATATGATCTGACAGTAATATCACTTGAAGATTTTATTTAACATGTTTCAACACATCAAATGGTGCAGATATTGATAAGATCATGTTATAAGTAATCAAGTAGTTAAAAAAACAGTAAGAATTTTGTATGATTGTCTGGTAGATGTAGGAAAAATAAGAAAAAGGTGATATTTACCTAAAGCCTCTGTTTCAATTTGGTCAGCCTTACGTTTGGCAACCTCTGCTAAAGCTACCTCCCCCTTGTCTTGTGCCATGTAGTGGATATCCTGTACGAAATTGAAACAACGGTCATATAAATTCATGGTAAAACATAGTACCTGGCAACAACAATAGCATTGAAAAAACAAACCAGCCCTTACAAACATTGAAATGAAAGTCAACTGATCTCGAAACCATGGAAACACAAAGAATGTAAAACAACACTTTGAACAGTAGAGCAATACCCCCACCAGTTAAATAACAGACAAACGGGATATTTAGCATAGCAAATGATGGTTTTTATAAAAAACAAGAGTGACGTGGACACAATATACGCCGCCACACAATATAAAGATAAAAAGTCGCACCTTCATGAACATCTACCCATTGTAGTAGTGACATTGAGCAAGTTTCATGAAAATCTGATGATCAGTTTAGGAGGATTTGCGTTCACAAGAAATGGACGTACCGATGGACAGACGGAGAAGATGACGCCAATATACTACCGCCTCCAGCGGTGTTTAAAAATCACAAAAGGTTCTACAGTCAAACCTGGTTATATTGAAATCTTTGAGGAATGAAAAAATACTTCAATTTAACCAGGTTTAAAATTAACCAGTATAAGCTTTTTCTAGCACCCAGTCCTATCACATGTTAATGATAAAACAAAGCATATATATTTCTACAATTTAACAATATTTCATTACAAACAGCTTAGAAGTCTATCTACAGCTTGAATAAGTTAATATTTTTCATCATTTGTCAGTTGTTTACATTTCTTGCTGAACAAAACCATTGTAAATCAATTAAGCTTAGACTGGTCTGATTCTCAGTCCTCAATTTCCTGTTCAACACAAGCTGCCATGGGTAGGGAGCATCATACCTAACACCTCAGATCTTCATCAGAGGTTGTCACTGTCAATGCCCAATTGACTGAGCTATGGCAGCCAGCCTCTCTGTTGGCATTTCTGCTGAACTGAAATAGATATGGGCGGGCTAATCATCAGAAAAGGGTCTAACACCAGATGAAGTAGAGATATCTTTACAAGAGTTTTTTTACTTACCATGAAGAGGTCCCTGGCTCCAATATCCACAGCCAACAGGAATGCCTTGTCAAAGCGGGAGTACCTACACAATAGCAGAGAAAAGAGAAATTAGCTGTCGATGTAATAGCACTGTTGAGGACATAGGTGATCTATGTATAAGATACAACAATATAACCTATTCTTGCGATGAAGATGTCACATTCTGCATTCTGAAACTGCCTATGCATGTAGTGTGGAAATTATTGCTTTCTCAATGTTTACATTCCCATATTTACAATACATTGGAACTCTTTGACGCCCCATTTTTTTAAAAGCAGAAAATGTATTAATAAGTAGCAAGATTATGGATTTAGTCATCAGATCTACAGCCTTGAAAAGTGTAAACCTTGACAGAGAAACAAAGAAAAGACCACAATGCAAAACCTCAACAGAGAAACAAAGAAAAGACCACAATGCAAAACCTCGACAGAGAAACAAAGAAAAGACCACAATGCAAAGTATAACAGACATACATATCTAGCTTATATACATTACCGAAGTAAGTGGTGGAAGAATCGCCTTGCCAGTCGGCTGATTGGGTCCCTGAAATCCATGATCACAGACTCTGACAGCGCTCGTTTAGGGTTGTAGAAGGTCCCTAGACTCACTTCTAACTGGCCTGGAAGCAAGAAGGAAACATATTTATATCACACAAAACCAGGCTCCAAAGGAATACATATTATCATCGATACTGTATAAATATTTAATTTATCAAATGCTCTTAAATTCAGAAACATACTAATATATATTTGTTAATTTACACAATACATGTACGTGTGTATACCAACAAAGTGGATTTGTACAGAACCAAAGTGAGTATTAGTGTGTACCTTCTCGTTCTACATTAAGGGGTTTGCGTAGCAGGTGGTTGACAATTGCGGAGAGACAGGAGTAACAAACAGATCCATGAGTATCCCAGTTCATGTTCTCCAGCAGTAGAATAGCCTGAAAGGAGTATACCAAGAAAATCATGAGGATCAAAGTGCTGTAAAATTCAGTCACCCTCTCAAACGTCTACACCAAATTATCTGACATCAATTTATACAGATAGATAGACCAAAAATCGTCACTAAGTAAAGTTTAAAGTTGATAAATACTATTCAATGTATGTTACTTATGTACAGAGAGAGCCGGCAAGTGATCCATTCGTTTTTTTTAACCGACACAATTGAAAACGAAAGGTATCTCTTTTACTTCCATTACCTAAAGATCATTTTATAACATTTTACTTTGCCTTACAACAATGTGGAAACAGCCATCAGCTTACATCATTTACTCTTGTCTGAACAGAAGCACTTAAGGTGTCTTCCTTTTGAAAAAACCTGAGTACGCAGGGAAAACCCACATGGTCCTGAAAGTGACCTAATATCACTTCATGTCTGATCAGGAAATGAAACCCCTGTTATCAAGGCAGAAGGTGAGTGTATTACCACTAACCCATCTAACCACCATTTTCAAAAGTAAACAGAAATTTCTGAAGCAACAATCAATTGAGAGAGTTTACCCAATGCATTAATAGTTGATTATAACTGTATATTATAAACAGATTACAATCAGATTGCCTGAGAATAAGCAATCCTTTAATTATATGTTAAATTAGAAGTTCTTATAACACAACAAGTAGAAGATTAGAGTGTGACGTTTTGATGACTACACAGTCACTTTCATCAGACAGCGTGGAGTGTACTAGCATTGATGTACGTGGTGTACCAGATGTTCAGGAATCTTTCTGTAGTCATTTCGCCTATGTATTGCTTACTACAGTACATTTTTACCATCTTGTGTACATTTTTTCTGGTCTATAATCTGTTTAACATCTTGTCACATTATTTTCAACCTAAGGGTACACAGGACTATGGTACAGCCGTACCAGTCGGCGATTCCTTACCATATCGTACACTACTACCTACGTCAGTGCGCTCCACACTGGTCATTTGTCTGATGAAGTTGACCATGTAGTCATCGAAACACCACACTCTAACCTTCTACTGGTTGTGTTATGAGAACTTCTGTTCTATTGACATTACCAACAGGAAGATAACAATAAAAAAGAAAAAAAGGTTAAAAATATTATAACAATTGATCTGTATGGATGTTAGTTATCTGATTGATTGACATTACCAACTGGAAAAAAATATTCTGAAAAATCTCAAAGCAAGATTTCTTTTTTAACTATTACTACTTCTATAAATAGACATAAGTCTCTGCTGATACCTGTGCTACTGATAAATAGCTCTAGCACAAGGTAAAACTACAGCACTACTACTAACTACATACCTCAGGGATCTGATTGTGTTTAATATACTCCTTCATCAGCTCAAGACAGGAGAAACGCTCCCTACTGACCACACCGAGGTGCAGCAGGAACAGACAGGGTGGGCCCCTGTAGACAATGCATAGAAAATGTTACATAGTATAATCATTAAAGTGATGAAAGGAATCTTCAACCTGTTCATTTTAAAGAAGATGTAATTTAAACGAATTTTTTTCCCTAAATGTATATTGAAATATCCTCGACATACTAACAATGAAACTTCAGATGTCTACACAGTATTCTTGATCATTGTTAAATCATTTATCAATACAGATATGAAGAGCAATGTCATTTATTGGTGTATGTTTTACATTCATCCTAATAAGCACCCGGTAACCTTTTCCTATTCTACTTCAATATCTAGCTCTGTCAATTCACAAAAATTCACTAACTTAATGAAAAAAAAATCTATCATAGATATTTTTGGAATCTACATTAGAAATTTTCAATCTAAATTAGATTTTTTAGAGAGTTTATGAATGATTGATTTTCATATTCCGAGAAATGAAATCTGACATCAGATGTTAAAAAAATCATACAGGAAAACATTCTTTTCATGTTCATTTTTTAAGAAGCAAAAACATGAAAAGACTATAAGATTGATTCTCATTTTAAATATTTACTGTTCTTATTTGGTAATAAACCCATATCTAATACAGTCTCAACAGAAATACCAAAACCTCCACCTCCTGACTTTGAGTCAGTTATATGTATTAAAGAATCTAATACAATTTATGTTTTAGGAAATACAGACCAGTGTCACTATACCAACACATTTTCAACATTTTCAAAAAATTCAATGAACACAATAATTTTCCAAGTAAGTCATTGTTTGAAACTTATATTCAGGTTTCAAAGAAAATTTGAATATAGAATTTAGAATACTCAATAACATTGTTTTAAAAACAAAACTGCCAAAATTGTTTATTTTCATGGAGCCAAAAACCTAAAAACAACAAGAAAATACAATCCTGACAACATAATCATGATCCAAACTCAAATTCAGTGATAATACGAACAAAAGAAAGATTCACAGAGAGGCTCCAGGAAATATTCAACGAGAATAAGACCAGATGTTCCAGAAGGGTAATCGTCTTCTGACTCATTGACAACATCCATATTGTAAATCTTGGTCAATCCAAGTGTGGATTATACATTTTTAATTTTATGGATTAATATTAATAGAAAAATCTCAAGTATTTGAATTCCATTTTTTTCTGTTTATCATTTCATGGACAAATAAACTCATTTCAAATAATGCCAATTCAGCGGGGGAAAAAAATCTCACAAATATCAATAATTTTAAAGTAGCTGGAATGATACAATGTTAGTCAGATATTCCTTAATCAAATCAGACATCTACTGGTGTATAAAGCCCATTATAATCATGTTTTTATAAATTCTGACCTGTCACAATGAATAAACATAGCGTCTGTGTAATCACCACTCCACTCCACAGACTGAGGGTCGAAGGAACACCAGCACAGCTCTTTAACCGTCACAGGCACCCTAAGGTAGATAAAGAGAGATAACAACAAGTCTTAAAGTACTGCAAAAGTTATTATAGGTCAATCAAAAAGTTTTGACAAAAGTTGGCATTAAAACATTTTCAGCTGAACCACTGTTTTTTCCCTATATTTCTTGATCATTTACAGTAGATGACGATGTATGAAGCTTCACCTAATAACAGTAACACTCTCAAATCAGGCTAGCCATTCATCAAACTAATTTTATTTTTCAGGTGACTACAAGCCTCTGTACCTGAAGAGCTTGCCAAGGGGAAGAACTCTCTGTGGGCTTGGTTCCTCTGACACTAGTTGTATTCTCAATGAGGTCAAGGCCAAGTCAAACACCTGAATAATTAACAGCATATGTCTGATAATACAGAAAGACTACATTCAAAAAATATGAAAAAGATGGTTAGAGCATGAATGTTCCCATTTCCATGCAAATTTGATAATGTTTTTATGAAAATATTAACAATGAACTTGACCTTTATATTTGAGCTCTGAAACATAAACTTGTCTCAAATATTCTCATGTGTTTGATTGTATTTCTCCAGCAATTAAATCATTATATTGATATCACTGCATTGTTTATATTCTATAAACAGTAATGGTGATCTTGAACTTGCTTTTCTATCAAATAATGATTTTTTCTATTTTGTTCAGTACATTTAAATCCCTCTAGTTACAATTACAGTAAAATGGTAAATTTCTTGGCAGGGAAAGTTAAAACATGATGACTATAGGACAAAAAAATAAAATGTAAAAATTAGTGTCCACCACTAAATGTAAAAGAGTTTTAATGAATTAGACGAGGTATTTAACAGACCTGTATGTCACCTCGTACACTGATCAGGAAGAAAACAGTGCCCGTGGGATGCCAGGCAACATCAGCAGCGATCTGTAGTCACAAAAAGGACAAAATTCTCAGATAGCATGCATCAATAAATGTGCTAAAAATGTCTTCTAAAAGAGCTTTGTATGTATACTGATGAAAAAGTAAATTTCAACATTTCAAAATAAATAAAAAAAAATTGCTTAACGCTGTTTCATAATTAGGGGGTTAGGGTAGGGGGTTTATTAACAAATAGAAAAGTTACTGATAAATACAGAATATGTAAAATCAATGTAATATTTCAAAATATTTCTGTTAATGTATTGCTAGGAGAATGTAAGTGTTACGTACCAAAGCAGCCCGCACCGCTGAGGTAGTCTTCCTGTGGTCATCGATGAGGACCTAGACGGGAAACAATTACAGTATATGTTACATTCCTGTACTAGATATATTATCATAATAAGTACAAGAAGTATGATAAAAATATCAAGAACAATATGATTATTGAATCATGAATTAAGTTAAATCCTGGTTCATTAATGTAGATTTGTTAAAGTAACATTTTTTGTTAATTTGAAAAAAATTGAAGTTTAAGCTTTTGACCTATTCACACATAGCAAACAAAGTACAAATCCTGCTGACCTAAATAAAACAGCTGGGTTCCAAATTCACCTCAATATTCAATGTATAGTGTATAAATAGTAATTACAAACTATTCTATGATTTCGTTATTTATTACAAGACAGGAAATCAAATTTCATAATCTTACCACTGATCCGTCACCACAGCCAAGAATAAGTTTATCCTCACTTGGGTTACGACCTTGACAGGTCAAGTGACCTACAAAGGTTAAACACATTCTAAAACTTGAGGTGGAATAGCACATGATAACCCTGCTTAAAAAACTAAAAACTTTCAAAGTTGTGGTATAAGTTATCTTTATATCAAGTACAACATCATTTCCCAAGCCACAATATGAACTTCTCTCCTGTGACCTAATATTACCTTTCTATATGACCCCTGGAACCTACTTCTCTCCGGTGACCTAATATTACCTTTCTATATGACCCCTGACAGTTACTTCTCTCTTGTGACCTAATATTACCTTTCTATATGACCCCTGACTACTACTTCTCTCCTTTGACCTAGTATTACCTTTCTATATGACCCCTGGCTACTACTTCTCTCCTGTGACCTAGTATTACCTTTCTATATGACCCCTGACAGTTATTTCTCTCCTGTGACCTAATATTACCTTTCTATATGACCCCTGACAGTTACTTCTCTCCTGTGACCTAATATTACCTTTCGATATGACCCCTGACAATTACTTCTCTCCTGTGACCTAGTATTACCTTTCTATATGACCCCTGACAGTTACTTCTCTCCTGTGACCTAATATTACCTTTCGATATGACCCCTGACAATTACTTCTCTCCTGTGACCTAGTATTACCTTTCTATATGACCCCTGACAGTTACTTCTCTCCTGTGACCTAATATTACATTTGTATATGATCACTGGCTACTGCTTCTCTCCTGTGACCTAATATTACCTTTCTATATGATCCCTGACTACTACTTCTCTCCTGTGACCTAATATTACCTTTCTATATGACCCCTGGATGCTACATCTCTCCCATGACCTAATATTACTAACCTTTCAGCTGTATAGCAGTGACATTCGTCCTCTGAATCTGAAACATCAAAGAATAAGTAATGGATTACAGTATTTTTATAAGCAATAAAGAACGTTGTTATAAATGAAAATCAATCAGTCAATTGATAATCCCATTTCAATTTGACGTTATTATTTGAATGTGATTAATATCTTTATCACTCATAGATACCCATCTGCACCTCCTCACAATGTAATCCTGTCACTTCATGGGTACACCTCCCCACCCCCTCACAATATAATCCTGTCACCTCATGGGTATACCTCTCCGCCCCCTCACAATATAATACTGTCACCTCATGGGTACACCTCCCCACCCCCTCACAATATAATCCTGTCACCTCATGGGTATACCTCTCCGCCCCCTCACAATATAATACTGTCACCTCATGGGTACACCTCCCCACCCCCTCACAATATAATCCTGTCACCTCATGAGTATACCTCTCCGCCCCCTCACAATATAATCCTGTCACTTCATGGGTACACCTCCCCACCCCCTCACAATATAATCCTGTCACCTCATGGGTATACCTCTCCGCCCCCTCACAATATAATCCTGTCACCTCAGTGGTACACCTCCCCGCCCCCTCACAATATAATCCTGTCACTTCATGGGTACACCTCCCCACCCCCTCACAATATAATCCTGTCACCTCATGGGTATACCTCCCCGCCCCCTCACAATATAATGCTGTTTGTCACATTATGGGTATACCTCCCCATCCTCTCACAATATAATTCTGTCACCTCATGGGTATACCTTCCCATCCCCTCACAATATAATATTGTCACCTCACGGGTACACCTCCCCACCCCCTCACAATATAATCCTGTCACCTCATGGGTACACCTCCCCACCCCCTCACAATATAGTACTGTCACATCATGGGTACACCTCCCCACCCGCTCACAATATACTCTTGTCACATCATGAGTACACCTCCTCACCTCCTTACAATATAATCCTGTCACTTCGTGGGTAAACATCCCCACCCCCTCACAATGTAATCCTGTCACATCATGGGTACAACTCCCCGCTCCCTCACAATATAATTCTGTCACCTCATGGGTACACCTCCCCATCCCCTCACAATATAATATTGTCATCTCATGGGTACACCTCCTCGTCCCCCTTACAATAATATAATCTCATAGGTACCATGTTGTCACACAGATACACAGCCTTATCCCCTTACAAATATTTATAAACAGCCCATTCATAGATACATAGTCGCCTCCCTTAGATACATACTTCTTACACTTCTCACAGAGTACACAACAGCCCTACCTTGCCCTGTATAATCTCGTAAGTACAACTCTGAGCTGACGTTTCAGACCCAGCCCCCATTGCTTGCTCCACCGTGAAAAATCTGTGTGGTTGCAGGTCACTACAATAAGATTAAAACCATAGTTATCACATATTGCCTACAGAATAGTTAGCGGTATTGCATAGTCTATTTAGCTGTCCAGACTGTGCTGATTTGGGATTGTCCTTAAGTAAGACACCTCACTCTAAATGCTTTGGATGGCATGCAATGGACCTTCCATATGTTGTTCAGTGAGGTAGCTACCAGCAAGTACAAGGAGTCCCCACTTGAAAATGACCAATCCAGCAAGCAAAGAAATTTTGCTGTCAAACCGTTAAAGAAAATTTCCAATTTCTAGATCAGATTAAATCTGAAAATTTTTGTTGACACACAACTATCCACAAAAACAGGTGCTTACATGTACAAATAGCATTGAAATCATACAACTTTGTGGCAGAGATTGCAGAGAATATTTGTCTTCAAGATGTGTTAACTAAGTATTTCTGTTTGAAAAATAAATATCTATAAATAGAAACTGTGAAGTTGACCTTAACCTTGAACTCTTGAAAACATAAATTAAGATAAAAATATACTTACATCTAAAAGTACACATCAATTTTTATCACAAATCCTAAAAACCAATGGGACAAGAGGCAACATGATAAGGCAGACATAGTGTGGGTCATATGGAAACACACATTAAAACCATTAACCAAATCCCCATGAGTTGATCAGAAGTCACACAAATTTTAAGGAAGTTACCTGAAACCAGCATGTATAGGGTCACACTCCGACCTTGTGAAGGTCAAAAGGCCAATGTTTGGGCTGAAACATAGCAACAATAGATAAACTAAATAACACAAAAAAGTGATAAAGAATTTATCGTAACCTTGACAGTTTGATAATCTTGAAATAGGTCATTGCTTTGTATCACATATTCAGCAAATTATCCAGCAAATTCACCTACAAATATTATTGCATGTGTCACTTGTGGAATATACCCTGATGCATTTTTCATTGGCTATGCCAGTCAGAAATCAATTGTGATGTCTTAGGAAATAACTTTACATCATGAATTAAAAACAGCACACAGAAATGCCTTTGAAGACTAACTGACCATTATCAGGTTGTACCATCACATACCCATGTATAGAAAGAAGCACCAGGTTAGCTCTATCCTTATCAGTGGTCATCGGGCTCCATGGCCATGCCTCATCACTGGACGCTGTCCACCACACCAACACCTGGATAGGGACAAAATTCAACAATCACACTAAGCAGCACTATTACCGTAAATTTGCGGGTATAGTGCGCACTCGGGTATAGTGCACAGGTGTCGGACTTAACAAGCGTGAAAGGCTTGGCTAATTGGATAATTAACGGTTCTGAACAGGTAACAAACACGTTGAGTATGAGGAGATTGATGACACCCAGCTTCGGCTGAACGCGTACTATTGCTCAGAAAACGATGTTGTTTTAACTGTCTGAAAAGTTTCAATCATTCCTTGTCCCCATACCTGTACCTACCGCGGCATCCGAAGGTACTTAGCTATAGACTGTTTACACCGATTTCAACATGGGGATTATTGATTTTTTCTCTTTACCCCTGACTCTGTGTTATATATTTATGTGACTGCTACTGTCCCAATGATTATTGATTTTTTTCGTTACCCCTGACTCTGTGTTATATATTTATGTGACTGCTACTGTCCCAATAATTATTGATTTTTCTCTTTACCCATGACTCTGTGTGATATATTTATGTGACTGCTACTGTCCCTATAATTATTGATTTTTCTCTTTACCCATGACTCTGTGTGATATATTTATGTGACTGCTACTGTCCCAATAATTATCGATTTTTCTCTTTACCCCTGACTCTGTGTGACTGCTGCTGTCCCAATAATTATTGATTTTTTCTCTTTTCCCCTGACTTTGTGTGATATATTTATGTGACTGCTACTGTCCCAATAATTATTGATTTTTTCTCTTTACCCCTGACTCTGTGTGACTGCTGCTGTCCCAATAACTATTGATTTTTTCTCTTTTCCCCTGACTCTGTGTGATATATTTATGTGACTGCTGTTGTCCCAATAATTATTGATTTTTCTTGATACCCCTAACACAGTACGGAATATCCTGGTGCAATCCTTATAAGAAAACAGAAACAGCTTGATACTCTAAAAAGTATACATTATTGATGAAATGGTACATCAACAGGTGAACTAGCACAGAAATCAATACAACGGAAGTTAAAGGAAGGTAAACATGGTGAGGTATCAGTAACAGACCAGGGCCACCTGTTTGTGTCTATCACAGTTCCTGTGTAATTTGTCCAGCGGAAGATATATACCTTGTGAAGGCTTAAAGCTAACATTTCAGTATGGTAGGTTCTAAAAATTTATTTAAATAATCTAAAACTAAATTGTGTATTCTTTTTAGGGAGTAGTAATTTTATCCAATTTTCAACCTCTGAAATATCATTCTTCTCATGACAGTCAGTGAAAATTTATTCTGAAGTAATGTACTTTCTGAATTTTTCAAAGAAAATTATTTTCTAGGTCTTTTGTGGATTCTTATACCCTAGGTAAAATGGTAACTAATGCACTGACAGATTTCTATTCGTTTGTTTTCTATTCTGTCACTCTCACTATAATTTTACATACTACATCTATGCTCTCTTTATGTGATGCGTAACATACAGTAAATTTGCTAGTTTTTGTGGTGGATTTAATTTCATTGATCATGTCAGCACTCTTAATCCACGAAATTCAAACATCCACAAACTGTTGATATAAACATCCGTACAAATATATATTTATTGATCTATATTCATCAACAAAACCAAGCGTCCATGAAATAGTAAATTTTTGAAAAATCCTGAAAATAGAGTCCCACAAAAATGAGAGCGAGTTTTAATCACACTGTAAAATTTTGTAAATCTGATATAAAATGTTACAGAAATGATGTGCCCTATTATTTTCAGTTTACCTGCACCTTTTGTGTTTATCAAATCATTTTTTTCTATCTAAAAATCACAAGTGTTACTCATGTGAAAGTTTTTGGTTTATTTCAGGACACTATTCATGTCTCATTCTAAAACTTCACTGTATTAAACTGTAATTGTATTACATGCTTGATGTTTCAGGCTGGTGAAGGTTTACACAAACAACACCAGTGGTAATATCAGCATCGTCTCTAAACTGGACGGGAGAAAACGACACCGAAAACACCATGTACCATATCAGTGACACAGCCCCGCCCACAACCAGCGACCCACATAAGACGCGGATCATTCTATTTGACGAGGACGAGATAGAAATGCTAACGAAGGCTGAACGTCTCACTGTCCTCACCATACAACAACAACTTGACCTACTGGCTGTAGATGAAAAGATAGAAAAAGAGAAAAACGCAAATGTCTTTCCAGACTTAAATGTATCTCCTCCTGATCTACCATTTGAGGAATTATTGGACATGGAGGCAGCCATGTTTGATGACAGAAGTTTGTATTTGAAGCCTAAGGTGTCTGTGCTAGTACCCACATGTGAAAACGAGCTACATAAAGAACTTGTTAGAAAGCTTGACACCTGTCAGGAAAGCTATCTCAATGCTGTGTATCAAAACATCCACCAGTTTGGTTCCAGAATGACTTACCAACCTCATCGTGAGTTATCTACCCTTGAAAGGTTACTAGAAAACATGGATCTATCAGATAAGTTGAAAGTATACATGAACAATCTAGGAAAGGTGACATATGATATTCTAGTCCAAACAGAAATCTTGGGTAATCCCATTGATCTAGAGGTCAGCCAGACTGTGGGGGTCAAATTTGACGGGGATGATAGATCCCTCACAACACGAGTTGATCTTGTAACAGGTCAAGCTGATGACTCGGTGGATGGTTCCGATGTAACGGTCAGTCCTACCATGATGTCGGAGGACTGTAGCTACAGCAAGAACAGTAACTCTGACATAAACGAGAAATCAGAAGAGGAAACCTCGGACTCAACATGTAACTATAGTGATGGTACATTTAACAGTGAAAGTCTCCCCAAATCTGATGAGTTTGAAGACTCAATTATCACAATTCCGTTCAAGAGTCGTCACAAGCGAGCAGCTGTTTGCTTCCTGTTAACCTTACGACAGTCTGTCCCTATCAGAAAATTGTTCCATCAACATCTAGCCTCGATGGGACACCACGACTTGACTATGTATTTGTGTGTGTGTCATTTAGGGCCCCTGGTGGACAACCAAGTGGTTCTATATGAGTATCGTAGCAGAGTCGCAGGCCAGCCCATACAGGGAGCAAATATCAATGAAATCATGAAGTCTTGGAAACGACTACAAGGACGTCTTGTTTTTCCTGTCACACCAGTAGAGGACCTTGTCAAACATTCTATTTATAGATATGAGGGACTCTCAAAAAAGAAAAAAGAAAAGAAACCGAGAAAAGTTATCAAATTGTATATTGATTAATCAGATGAAAAGATAAACAACAATTGAGTTCGTCTTATTTAGTCTGTGTAATCTGGCTATGTAAGTATAAAAACCTGTGTTATCAGTCAACCTGATTCACCCATATCATCCACAATTTAAAGATTCTTTTTAAATCGTGTTTAAAGTTGACAACACGGTCAACATTCATGCTGTATCGCTAATAACAACTTCCCTACAGCAGTTCGTAATCAAATGTCTGTTCTTACCACAATAATTGACCCTACAAAATTTGCCATGTCTGACCTCTGGACTTACCGTGTCTTGTCGGGTGTTGACTGACAGCTTCCGATCCAGACGTCGTCCAATGGGACCCGGAATTTCTACCTGAGATACCTGTCAAAATAACCAAAGGTTATAAGCGTTTCTTTTTGTGTTCTTAAACAGAGTGAATTACATACATCATCTATCTGACATTGAACTAATAACAAGAGATGTAATAATTATCAAACAGAGACATATGTAAAATTGTAAATATATGTATATAGAAACTTTAAGGTATGGCTGTACTTTACACATGTAGATGTACTTAAATTTCTGTATAGATCATACAATCACCCCCGGATGTTGGGGGGTCGGGGGTTAACACTACCTGTAACGTAAAGTCAGTGGGGCTCGGTAAAATAACTGCAGGGTGAAATGGTCATGGTTGGTATTTTGTGATAACTATGGATGGGCTTATTGCAAAGCATGGGCTTATTGTGGGATAAATATGGTATGAAGAGAAGAGTAAACAGCTTATGCAGTCAATATGATACCAGACTTCTCTCCTTTATACACAGTTTATCAAACATTATTTCTGGAGATCAATAATCAACAACCAGTGCATTTATTGATTTATTATCATCTGATTTATGATATTATTGATTTTTTGTCATTATAATGTAAGCAGCTTATAATAATAAAAAAAAATCTTGTATCACTTAAGTTTTGTTAATGTTGAGCTTACAATTTGCTTCACAGACACAGGGACTGTATTGTTACCAGAGTTACTTCCCTTGTCACTGACTGGCTCAAGATTTCTCATTTTAGTTTATTTTCTAACCAATTTCCAAAATTAAACCCCTGACTACTTGAGGTTGGGGGAATTATCAACAAGTTTTAAAGTTGGGTATTGTAGTAGAAAAATGTTTGCAGTTACTTACGTTTGTAGTTAGAGCTAAAAAAGGTCTGTATCAGATTCAACCTATAATCTAACTTACCTTTGGTTCCCAAGCAGAGAGTTTTTCTAGGCGCTTGATTGCCTCCCCTAGTGGAGGTCTCTTGACAAAGTAGGCATAATCCAGCTTATTACGGTCGGGGTACACTGTGATCAGGAATTGTTCACACAGGTACGCTAAGTCATAAACAATACAGTCTATGATATATAAATGTTGATGATAACATCGAGATTCACTATAAATAAAATACCTACTCATCTGAAAGTTGTTTGTGTGCAATTCAAGATATTATATACTGACATCAAAGCGTTTAAATTAAAACTTAAAACTTAAACATTATTGATTTTAGAGAGAGATATCAATCACAACAGCCTCGGAGTGTATGACTTTCGATTTTATTCAGTGCTTGTCAACCTGTTTCGCCCTTTCAGGCTTCTTCTTCATATTTATCTGATTTGTTCTACTGCTCAATCGCCCTGCATACCCTTAGGGTATCCAGCTGAGTAGTGAAGGAAACAACAACCCACCCATATAGGATGAACGGCCTTGGCCTATACCGTGACTCTCTATTATTGGTTTTATTTATGCATAAGTGTAAAAGTTCTGTTCTAATAAGTCACTTACCATCTGAAGCTGCATCTGTGTTGACCTTGGTCATCATTGATTTGTCGAGGAAGACCTTGTCAAGGTCACCACTGTGTCCACTCAGAACATAAGTCACACTGACCAAGTTACTCAGCACAACCTTCAACACAAATAAAAAGGGTTTACTAAGAAACAAGGCAGTAGCAAAAAGGTCACTCACAAACATATCAGCAGTTCAAAGGTCATCCACACACATAGCAGCAACTCAAAGGTTACTAAAAAATACAGCAGTAGTTTAAGGTTACTAACAAACATAGCAGTAGTTCAAAGGTTACTCATAAACACAGCAGTAGTTCAAAGGTTACTCAGAAATATAGTAATACTGCAAAGGTCACTCACAAACAAAATAGTCACTCACAAACATTGCAATAGTTCAAAGGTTACCAAGAAAGTTAGTAGTACTTTAAAGGTCACTCAGCGATAGCAATAAGACAGAAGTTCAAAGGTCACTAAGAAAAAAATCTGTCATTCAACAGTCACTTAAAAATGAGGCATCCATTGAAAGGTACTTCCAAAAGAGGGTTATTTAAGTGATAAACATCAACGATACATGTATATACAAACACTGATATTAAACAAGGAATGAAATTTTACCTGAAGGATTCGCCGACTTCTCCATCGGACATGTACTAGTCTGTGATGTGACAACAAATCCTAAAAACAAATTATATACAGAAATCATCAATCACCATCTTCTAATCCTTTTGATAGTTCTAAATTCAACAGCAAATGAAAAAATCAATTTCTATACTAATGACTTATTAGAATACATTTTAATATATTGGATATACATTCCTGTTTATTAAGTATTTGATTGCCCTTCACCCCTAGAATACTTCAGACCAAATCTGGACAATATCCAGTCTTTGCTACATGAGGAGTAGGATTTTAAAGAACTTGCGAAATTCCCTTTTTGAGCTCTGCCCCTCAGGCCCCTGGAAGCTGAGAACCAATATTACACAATCTTAATTGCCCTTCCCCTAATGATGCTTCTAATCAAACTTGGTCAAAATCTGCTTAGGTGTTCACGAGTAGTATCGATTTTAAGTGGACAGACAGCGCATCATGACATAAACTCACCGGTCCTAGTGACTAGGTGAGCTAAAAACTTTAATTGATGGTATCCATACTCTATGTACTGGAGATTTGTAATCATTAACATTATGTACCTCTAATTCCTTCAGTGTGTCTCGTAGCTTCTCAGGTCTTTTATTCTTAGGAGTCCATGCTATGTCCTGGCCTGAATAAGTATACAAACAAGATCAGATTACTTCATGATAGTGAAGGTGATGTGACAGTTCAATATTGCAGTCAAGACATAAGAATATGACCAATCATTTTTCATCAAAAGTTTTACTTACAGTTACATACTACTTTACATATTTCAACCTGCCATTTTTCTTCTGAACTTCTTTAAGGGTGATTAATTAGTTAAAACTATCAAATTATAGTATACAAAACATACTTTATGACAAAATGTATGTCCTTATTCAAAGGTAACTGAGATCAAAATAACACAGATGGTGATATTGGGTAGCACACACAATAACACAGATGGTGATATTGGGTAACACACACAATAACACAGATGGTGATATTGGGTAACACACACAATAACACAGATGGTGATATTGGGTAGCACACACAATAACACAGATGGTGATATTGGGTAACACACACAATAACACAGATGGTGATATTGGGTAGCACACACAATAACACAGATGGTGATATTGGGTAACACACAATAACACAGATGGTGATATTGGGGTAACACACACAACAACACAGATGATGATATTGGGTAATACACACAATAACACAAATGGTGATATTGGGTAACACACACAATAACACAGATGGTGATATTGGGGTAACACACACAATAACACAGATGGTGATATTGGGTAGCACACACAATAACACAGATGGTGATATTGGGTAACACACACAATAACACAGATGGTGATATTGGGTAACACACACAATAACACAGATGATGATATTGGGTTGCACACACAATAACACAGATGGTGATATTGGGTAGCACACACAATAACACAGATGGTGATATTGGGTAGCACACACAATAACACAGATGGTGATATTGGGTAACACACAACAACACAAATGGTGATATTGGGGTAACACACACAATGACACAAATGGTGATATTGGGTAACACACACAATAACACAGATGATGATATTGGGTAGCACACACAATAACACAAATGGTGATATTGGGTAATACACACAATAACACAAATGGTGATATTTGGGTAACACACACACTAACACAGATGGTGATTTTGGGTAATACACACAATAACACAAATGGTGATATTGGGGTAACACACACACTAACACAGATGGTGATATTGGGAAACACACACAATAAAACAGATGGTGATATTGGGTAATACACACAATAACACAGATGGTGCATTTCATAAAGATGTTCTCAGATTCATTGAGGCTAATAACACTTAAAGAGATGAATATATAAATGTAGATAATATCACCAATATGTACCTTAAACCTAAACTCTTCATTTTTTCATTGACATGATCTTGCGGGCAAAGTAGAGTGAATTACAGACAAAACCTAAGTAGCTTATTTCCCATAAAATGAGTAAAGTAAATACATAGTTTGTTTTTCTTTTCTTTGTTTTTCTCTTTTGTCTATGATAATTTTAAAATGAAAATTTATCTAAAAAATAAAGGGAGATAATTCATAGAACTCCAACATCTCATACACACTTTGTATATCAATATATATATATCTACCTTCAGCATAGTGTTGTCTCTCCTCAAGGTACAGCTGACTATGTGAGGCTGTTACAGAAAAAATTACATTTAACTTGAATTGAACAAAATATAAGGTACTTATCAAAAGCATTAAAAACATATCTAAACCAGGGAAAGTAACATATTTGTTTTAGTTAATGATAAGAGTAGGAGACATTTTGTGCATATTTTAAGACATATATCAAAATCATAAGACTAGTTTAGAATTCAGTAATTTTTAATACCTTGAGGTTCAGGTTTACATCACGCATAAATATGCAAAAAAAAAATCTGAATGCATTTTTTTTACTCATGAATTAAAAAAAAAACATTATGTCTTCTTATGAAAGATACTGAACTTGGTGTTTTGTAAATGTGATAATGGTGTTCTGTTTCTTGAAAAAAAAATTATGACAGCAAAACATGTATAAGTAAGTAAACTTTCAAGTTGGTTTGAATGGATGTAAAACAATTTCAAGCAAACTTTATAATTACCAATGATTAAATTTCAATTAAATTTTTAAAAAATTTACCCGGTAATTAAATTTTAAGAGTGTTAGAAGTTAATCTTTTAAAAAAAGAATTTAATCATTTGTTTATTTATTCAAATTATCATTTTTCTTCAATTTATTTTTTAATTGTAGCAATTTTTCCCCATGAAAATGGTACAGATTTACCTTCCATGTATATATTTCAAATCTCATCATTTTGTCATAATTTTATCAAGAAAATTTTACAGAAAAAACTTTCTTTGTTTTTTTTTCATCTTCAGACATAATCAAAATTACTTGTCTATGAAATAATGGAAATAATATTTTATGATTATGAAGAAATTTGATATATAATCTGTCTGGATTAGTTGGATATATACATACAACATTGTCCTAATCAAATCTCATTTGTGAATTACTGGTGCCTTGACCTGTCTGAATGTATTCATCAACATTATACAGTTACTTACAAGCTTGTTGTTTGTCATGGTAGGTGTGAATACCAACAACATCATCTGTAATAATAAAGCAACATGAAAACACAACACAACATGAATATATATATATCTATTTTTACTATTAACAAAGAGTGGTTTCCTTACAAATACTAACATTTCCATTTTATCATAGGCAATATCTTTAATTACATGAAAAACCATAATACTTAAACTTGTTATATCAAGTCATAAATAACATATTGATTGAACACCCCAGCTTTGTAATTACCTGGCAAGGCTGTCTGGTTCCTGAGTGACCAGGTGAAAACCTCGCCCATGCAGGTGGCCATGGTGTGTCACACCTTGGTCTGGTCCATTATAAATCTGGGGATATAGGTGATGTCAAACATGCCTGATGTTACATGACTGTAATGGTGTATCAGCATTGATTCTAACGGTAAGGATGTGGATCACTCATCGTCTTCTCACAAATTGTAAAACAAACATCTAAAAGGAAACAAACAAAATAAAAATCTCAAATACCATTATTCAATTATTTTTTAAGGCAAGCCCACAACATAATACCAGTATTGGGTTTCTGAAATTTGAGAGTCTCACCAAATAAGCATGCGATCTGGACTAAAAATTATTGTTCAACTACATGCAACATGTGCAATCATATATGTTATATCTGTTCCTCTACCAATAAAAATGTCTCTTAAATTTTGTTCTCCATATTATATAATAGAGATATTTAAGCTAGGAATATACAATGTAATTGGTCTGGATTTCCTCTGTACACTATACACTTTGATAGAAAAGGAGAATGTTGTTGTCAGTTTCACAACTGAATCTCAAAATATTGGCATTGAGGTAATGAAAATGGACTATTAGATACACTGTACAAATGTTATTATTCCCAACGTTGATTATTTATTTCAGTGTCTACTTGGGATCAGATCTGGTACCTCCTCCTTACACATCTTATGCTCAACCAATTTCAGAGCTAAAGAGAAGTTATCACTATCTTAGTGGTATACTGCAGTTATAATATTAGTCCAAATTATTCTGACATTCTATCAATGTTTTTTTGATATCAGACTAGAGTCAATGAAGAGTTCAATAGAAACTCAGAATAATTCAGATTATTATAGTAATTACTAGGGTTACACAAAAGTTATCAATTAAATCTAAACCTTTTTTGATCAGGTAAGAATTTTACAGAAAAAATATCCGAAGTAAATAAATTGGTTAAAATATTCTAGAATTCTTAACCATCGCTAAATCTCGTGGTATTTTATGATCATATTTATAGCACAAGAAAGGGACACATCCTTGTTAATTGGTTTATCGCATTTGGAGGAACTTATGAATTAAATTATCGGAATTCGGTCTGCAAGTTTCTTATAAACCCAGGCGACTCTGTGCACACAATTTTTGAAGTGTGGATTATATTACAAAGTATATACAAAATGTACTATAATACATATAAAAGGTCATGAGCACGGGACCAAATTATAACCTATTGATACTGTAAATCACTGACTTAGATATATATCCATGTAGATATTTGAACTACACAACCATGGTTATATCATCTTGGGTAAATCTGTGATATAAAAACTATCGTTATTCACAGGAATCTTCGTCGAGGAATAGTCATGTCATTTTCATTTAAATTCTGAAAATAAACCGGGGAAATTATACACACAAACAAACAGTTTAACAGAAGGAAATTTCATTGTTAAATGAATTATCACATCTTCATTTTTTTGTTTTGAAAAAGGTTGAATACCTGGTCTATGAATAAATACAACATTCTCACCTGTCTAAAATTTTGTTTACCTCTTACCGGAAACTGAATGTACGAACTAATTTTCATAGTAATAAACGGTTATCGAGATAAAAAAATCCGGAAAACAATAAACGCCGGAAGGTCACTTGGTGCATAACACTAGCTTTGCCAGACAGGTAATCTTTCAAACACGTATTTACACTAACCTAATATTCTGCAAATAATTCCAACATAGGATACAAAGCTGAATGATGAGTATACACCAAAAGATAACAATCAGAGGTTTTATCAAACCATCCTCTAGCATAATGGAATGTTTAATTAATAAAACAACACATTTAGAAAAAACAGTTGTCTAATGCTTATTAAGCAGATTATCCGATTATAAAAAAGATAATCTTATATCATAATTACAAAACATAAACGGATTGATGAACCGTTTTCGGTACATCTTTTACCATGCTATCAATGTGGTCGAAGATGAAAGAGGAATGACGTTAACGTGGCCAGTTAGACAAACAGGTGACTAGCGCACGCGGGAAAACACCGATGACAGAATCCCACGGAAAGATGATGATGTGGCCGGTACTAGGGGAATGCTAATTCATCTACCATATGTGCCGGATTAAGAATGAGTCTGTTTACTTCAGGTCAATGAGTGCATATTTCTGCACCAAGAGAGTAATTCATACACTAATCATATGTATGTGTTTAGTACGAAGTTCAGGAAGGAGCAAATGAGTTTACAGACATCAGAAACAAAGAATACCACTTTCTTAATGTATCAAGCAATGAAGGGACAAAGAAATGAGACTTTTTTTTAATTATCTAAATTCCCCCGGTTATTTTTTTGTATTTCCGTTTTGTTTGTGTATTTTTAAAAAAAAATTATCGATGTATGTCTCTATTTCCAGTTATAATTGATCTCAGTTTTAAAAAGCATAAAAAAACATAACTTCGTATTGTATACTAAAATGGCTGTTGTGTAACTTAATTGCATTTTTATATATCTGTAATTGATCGCGTTTGCTCTTAGGCAGTGCCTATTTCTATGCATTTGTATTAAAGCCTCGATGTAATTATCTTTTTAATAAATGGTAAACCCTCGATACAGTGTCTTTCGTTCATAAAAACATGAACAAAATGTATTTTGTTTCTAAGTGAAATCTCGATAAAGTGATTTCAGTCGTTAATATCATGTAAAAGATTGGTATGAATATATCACACAGGTTCTTTATTTTGTAAAAACCTCTACACATTACCCTGAACTTTCAATCTATTAAGAACTTTATATATGATAATATACGTTTATACGCTGTAAGATCTTCAATGTAACACTTGTCGATCGTCTTACGCCTAGATGTCCCAAGGCCTCTTACTCCCCTCCCCCGATATACTGCCAATACCCAAAACTCCTTTCATAAATGGCAAAATAACGAGATTGAACCGAATAGAAATGAAAGTACTCGATGCATCTCATTCAGTTACTTTGAAACATTGGAAATGTTATTTCCTCAGTATACACAGGCACGTACACAGCTGTACACACGGTAAAATTTGTATCATTTCATATCTAAACTTTATTCGAACCAAGGTTTATAAGATTTGCGTTTGTCAAAACTCCTCCAACGTTTAATGTTAAGAATAGTCAACTTCATTCACAGGTACACACAGACCACAATTTACTGTCTCGTGTATCAGATAGATATAATTAAATAAGAAGCAATCGGTGGCTTCATTTAAATACACATTTATCTTAAATTCTAAATAGGTAAGCGCGATTTTATACGAAATATTTGCTTATATGATATATCGGGTTTTTTTCCAGAATAAGCTTAAGAGTAAAGAACTTTTTACAACTTCCCGGATTATTGTACCGAATACATTGTTAAAGTTATTATTAAAGTACAATCTACACTTACTTATTCCCGAAGTTCAACGGCGATTAAAAACTGCGACACAGATTATAGTGTTAAGGCGATATCCTACCATAACGACTATTTAAAGTACACAGTCGTATTTTTAATCAAGGTTATTAAAACGTTTATTCAATGTGACCAGGATGTAATGTTGAAATGACCCATCGTTTATCCTGAGACTGTGAGTACAAGTTTTTAATGTCGTATTCTTAAGATGATTGTTTTTTTTAATTGATTGATAATTAATCGATCAATCGATACTCAGAAACTTAACGTTAATAACACACATTCACCGGTTAAATATGTATTCCCTTCTACCTATACTGTGTTTATATCAAGTAAGAGACTATTGTATGCCGAATATTGAAAATCAAATTTTGTGACATTTTCAATGATTTTTTCTGAAATTTTTTTTATCAAAACTGGCCTCGTGATTAATGCATATTCATATATTTGAGCAACAGATTGGTCTTTACATGGATTTTGTTGACTAAAGCGATTTGGAGGTCAATAATAACACAAACACAGACATGAGGATGGATCCCTGCTGTGTGTTATTCTAGATAAGACACAGACACACGCGATAGTATCGGGTATTGTTGGTGATTTTTTATTAACCCGTTTTGAGAATGCGTATTTTATCACCATAGGTTTACACTATCCAGTACTAAATGTGACAATCGGATGCCAGTGCACGATCAGAATCCCCATGGGTCCGCGAGACGACGACATTTAACAAATCAGAATTTGAAAAAAAAAAATCCGCCGATTTTTATATTGTGCCACCGAAACTCTTTTTACGAGATTGATTTCGTAATGAGAAACATGATTGGCAATATATATAATAGATTTTAAGACCGTCCTTGAACGATGTACTTTGTAAGATATACCTTCAGAAATGACATGTGATATAAATTCAGGTCTGAAGTGTCCCCGGTGTTCGTGTAATTACATTTAATTTACATTCAATCTGTATCACTACCTCACCTAAAAAAATCAACGTCTAGATCTCTGCCGGGGAGGAGGTGAGAGGTCAGTAAAATGATATAAGTAGATTGATATAAGCAACGAAACAAAATTTGTTCCTATACAACACATACAAATCCATACATGTGAGTAGTGCATTAATTACTTTCTTGGTGCAGAAATATGCACTCATTGACCTGAAGTAAACAGACTCGTTCTTAATTATTCGAACAGTTTCATTTAACCAGCGAGATCAGTACAAAAGAATATGAGATTGATCTTTTCATTCTTTTTGACCATTTTTTCCCTTATGTCTGTCTTGTCTTCGATTTTGGCCTCCCAGAGAGCAATACATTGGGATTAGTCCCTTCCTCGTGACATCCGATATTTTTAGAAATGGTATTTACACTCCCTCGACGTTGTAGTAGTATAACGACCCGTTCACAAGTATTTAGTCATTCTCGGCCCCATCTGTTGTCAAGCTTATCGATATACCATATGTACTGACAGTTTGAAACGAAGGGCAGCGACTTTGAGCGATCAAACTTAGCATATTATGTAACAGGATGCGGTATAGTTCAGTGTGATAGCACTATAATGTCGACTTAGTTCCGCACTGAGTAGGCATACAGTAACATATAGCAAACATCCGAAATTACACATACTCAACACATGCACTCGCACATTTTATACGTCATCGATACTTTCGCTATCTGCACCCCTGGAACATGTCTTGGCAAAAGTGCAGGTTCCATGTGCGACTCCTTGTGGACAAGACGAAAAGACTAGTTTGATCTTTTGATGTACATCAAATGAATTGGAGTATCGAGAACGACTTTATATGGAAACCTCCATTAATAGCGATCTAAAAACAAACCAAACTACATAATCAGTTTCAGCATGTTCTAATACTTTCAACTATAATGTTGATAAAAGCTTCTTCCATTTTCTCTCTTTCAGATTTCTAAATGATCCAAACATATTTCCGAAAAATATAATAAAAATAGTAAAAAGATGGACGACACAAACATCGGTATGAAATCGTACGAGTTCATTTTCCTGTTCAACAAGACATCCGGGAGTCCGAGGGTGCAGTACTTCATGGTGGATCCGTGGACAAAGACCCGGATCTTCCCCAAGTGTAATTCTATCGTATTTAACAAGCTCACACACCTCGTAGGCTTTCGGCCAGTGGTATTGGACGGATGTCTCTACATTATTGGCGGGAAAGACTGGGAGTCTGGTCAGTACCGCGCGCAAACGTGGAGGTACGATCCCGCCACCAGTCGATGGAGTGGCCGAGCGTCCATGCTCGAGGCTCGATGTCGTCATACAGCCGACGTTCTCAACGGCTGTATCTACGTCACAGGTAAGACAAGGAGACCAAATCTTATACTAGAATCAGGGACGTATAATACAGATAATACGTCCCTGCTAGAATGAATAAAAAACGTGAAACATCTTATATACTATCTTTCGAATCCTTTCGTCTTTCAATAAATTAATTTTTATCTTCTTCTAAATCGAAAGAACTATGTAATTTAGGAAAATTTATACATTATGCAACCAAATTAATTATTTAGTGGAAAGACCTGTTTAAGAGTTTGATCTACTATTGCATCAATGAATTCTATAAGTTTACGATGAATTATGAATATAACTTAACTGTCAATACATATAGATATTGAACGTGTATGTCCAGGCTAGGCAAGGAAAAAGACAGAATCTCTTGGATTTTAAAGAAATAAAACAATACTTGTGTATTTGTTGTGTAACAATAAAGCTGGTCCGTGTTTTGGTGTTCGTAGGAGGGGAGATTCACGGGGGAGGTGTGACAGACCTATGCGAGTCGTATGATCCTGTCCTGAATTCCTGGACCGCCATCAACTGTCTGCCCCGCCCCCGGGCTGACCACGCCGCTTGCGTAAACGACGGCAGTCTCTACGTGTCAGGGGGCATCAGCAACCTAAAACATCAATGTTCTAACGTTTTCTGGTAAGTTGTTTGGTCATACGAAGGGCAGACTTTCTCGAGAGAATGATATTTTGTGACATGTAAAATCAAAATTCACATTATTCTTAAATACGTAAATAAGTTATATATATGGACAATATATTGATATATGTAATGAATACAGGTATATGAAACATAATTCGATTTTCACTAGATCTTTAAGTGTCTGTGGTATTTCCAGGGTATATGACGCGGTCGCGAACGAGTGGGATGAGCCCATACAGGGTATAATTTTACCTCACGAACGGGAAAAACACAACATGGTCAGCGTCGGAAAATATATCTACGTTGTATCTGGTAAGTATAAAAAAATGAACTCAACGCCAAAATGTCATTGATTACACTTCCTCTTTTTATGAAAATCTATAGATTTGAAAAAAAAAGAATGAATAAACGGGAGTTGAGTTTTTCTTGTTTGAAGGTCGAGGATTTGACCAAGAGACGTGGTCCGAGAAGGATGAGTCCGCCATTTGTTGCTTCAACACCCGATCTAAGGGTGAGACAAGAAAGGACACCTGCTGGGATGTGTACCATCCCAACGTGTTCAACCCCCGGGCTAACGCCGGTGTCATCCTACTCGGTAAGTACGCGAATAGGTCTGTATACATACATTTCATAGAAACGAACGTCGTGACAGCAGAACTGAGCAATTTTCAATTATGATCGTATTGAGGTTTTTGTTTTTAATTTCAATGGAAATTAATTCCCAATGCTAACTCTTAATCAATACATTTAGCGCTGTTCCAAAGATAAGCGATTTTATTTGAAAAAAAAACACTGACGTAATATTAATCACTAATACATTATTTGTAGAATGTATTATTCTGTATATAGCTACACGCGCCAATAGTACAAAAATCCACACTTAGTGGCAAAAAAAGTCATAGAGAGAAGATTGTAACTGAGAAGGATGTCCACTCACAAATCGTCACCGAAATTTTCCATCGATTTCTTTCTTAACACAAAATTTCATTCCAGGACAACAGCTGTATTTTATTGGCGGGAAAAGCTTCCAGAAGGATTGTGACGTCAGAACGGTGGAATGTTATAACGTGAAGAGGCGTAAACTGCGTGAAGCGTTTACGTTACCAGAAGGGTACAGTTACGTTAATGTTGACTGTGTTAAACTTAGTGTACCGGTTAGTAACACGGATATTACTTTCAACGACCTTCTGCTCTACGATAAATGGATCATGTGGTGACGTCACTGGGCGAATGTAATGGATAAAACTGTACCTTTGGTGAGAGGATATTTTTCAGCTTCCTGTTGTAATGGGGATGCGAATGGCAGATTTGGAATGGAAGTTCTCGTGATTACTGTTAAAATGCACATTGAACGAATTGATTTATAACTAATACAGGAGGTATTTGATTTTCCTATAATTTTTTGTTCCAAATATTTACACTCTGACTGTTATTTCTCTTAATGAATAAACCAACTGGAAATGACATCCATTAGACCATGAAAACACTATGAAAACGCTATGAATACAGCCTTTCACGTGAAACGATCAGCCGATCTCACTCCAAACAGGGGCGTAGCTAGCCAAGCAGGAATGTGTAAGCCCAGGCGAGGGGTCTGGGGGCCGCATAGCCCCTCAGCGGGTCCAGGGCAGGGCCCTTGTGGGGGGCGGGCGGGGTCGGGATGGGGAGGGGGGCTTCGCCCCCCGACAAAAAATGAATTTCATGATTTCAAAGATGTTTTGAATCGTTTTCTGAGACAGTTTTTTTTTATATTTATTTAACAACAAACTTCAACCCCTGACTCAATTAAAGACTTTATTTTGTTTGAAGCTTGTCGATCGACGTCTGTAATCCAGAAGCCTTCTTCATTTTGAAAATTTGCACTTTAACAACATTATAATCTGAAACGTTGAAATGAGAGTAAGAAGCAGAATAGTGTGACGTGTATAAAGTTCCGGAAAGCAATGCACTAGGCCTAGTTATTCAACAATTTTCTATTTTATTTTTTTTCATTTATCAAAAATATTAGATATTTATTTTCAACCTTAGTTTTGTAACATTGTTCGACATACTCCATGCGTGGATTTTTATGTGTAAGCCCAGGCTTCTTCTTTCTTATGAAACTACGCCCCTGCGAAAGATAATCAGTTATATGAATACGCCAAAAACTTTTTTTATATAGTAAGAGTTAGCTCCCTTTGTCAAACATCGCCAAAAGTGACCAATCAACTTTGAAGTTGTCATACTTTTTCAATATCTCGCGTTGCAAAATGACAGATCGATATAATCACTTTTGTGATTTAATTCTCTCGGGGATAGTAAACAACTAACAAAAATATAACAACATGTCAACATAATCACAATCAAACCTATGGCAAAAATAAACAAAAGAAAGATTTCACCCAATAATTTTCACCAACCGCTGCATCTTTTCAATTCCTGTGTTATGAGTCTGTCCATAACGAAAATCGTATGGAAACAGGCCCTTGAATATCCAAATAACTGTTACATGTAAACATAGGTTGGAGCAGGTATGTTGCTATCCAGAAATGAAAATTTCATGATAGAGAAATTAAAATCAGAACGCTTACAATAGGGCTTGGTTGAAAGTGATCCATGTTGGTTTTGTTATAGAAAAACATCGAGATAAGCGGCTGACGTTAAAGATTAAAAAATGGCCGCAAAAACGTTTGCCATCAGAAGTCTTGAAAGTCGATACAACATAGAGCGAAAATATAGCAAAGATCTTATCAGTTTCTCACCAACGGAGAAATCAGTCGGATGCCCAGATCGGCAATAACTGACGAAAAATCAGTGTATATCTGGTGTAGGCGTGCCGTGGATATGTGGGCGTTTCTGAAACAGCCCTTCTGTATCTGTATCGTTGTGTTAGAGATTCCCAGCTGGAAAATGATATGATTTTGATCGGTCATATTTTGGAGGAAGTATGTTTGATTTTCAGACCAATTTGTTTTAAATAAAGATTAGATATTAAGTAATAGACATGCATAGCTATTTCGTACATAAATCTCGCATTGTCGTCTTACGATACCAAAAACACGTTATAAACATATTAAATATATGATCTGAATGATTTTTTTTTGCGCACGTGGAAGATAGATGTATAATGTTATTCATTGCAACTATGGAAATGAACAAAACAACACATTCATCTCAGTTTATATGTTACGATTACATTAAAAGTTGTGTACCCATCACAAGTTGTTTTGAAATTTTTAGTTAAAAAGTTGAAGATTTGTTTTACTAAAAATCTTTTTAAGATCTGACTGGTTGCACTGTATAACCTTATTTTTACTAAATTTTAGCACAATTACTTGTCTTGTCTGTTGATACAAACATGATATCAATTAATCATGTATTGGCGTGTTTGAGTAAGAAAGCTGAACGATTTGAGGTCAACATACGCCAATTGGATCTACAACTCTGCGACGAAAAATATACATGAACTTAAAACATTGTGCTTGCAGGTCAGTAAAATGGCAAACAAAAAAAAGAAGAGGCCTAGAGGGCCCATGTCTCCTATCTGACTTTGGCTGAAATTGCTTCGTGCAACCTGAAGGAAGCGGAATTCTTAGTGTTATATCGATTTCCTCCTTGGGCCCAGTCCTCTCCAACCATTCTCACAGAAAGAATAGGATTTCAAAACATTTGCTTTAATGCCCCTATTAAGTTCCCCAGCTCCCGCCCATCTGTGCCGAGACACATGCCTAAGAACGCACCAGGACAAATTTTAAGGCAAAATCCACATTTCTACGGGAGGAGTAGAATTTTTAAACTTCTCTCTTTGAGTCTCGCTCTCAAACCTCTCGGGACCGACGACATCCATCATCCTCGAATTCCCATACGCAAGTAGATTACGCTCTGTCATGGTTTGCACCCCTGGTTCCATGAGCGACATCTTGTGGATAAGACGAAAAGATTCCTTTGATCCTTTGATGTACCTCAAACGAAACTCGAGGTTCAGCTTTAAAGTTCGGTGTCCCTCTTTGGTAAATCCTTAAAGGAGTGTATGAGCCTGTAATTGGTCAGTTTTTCTCTCTAAACCCTCTCTAGACCAATCAAATTACTTTGCTGGCGCTTTCAATTTTTCCAAGATGATCTAGGGGTGCAAGACCAAAAGTGATCGTAACCCCTTCAGTATCGAAGATGCGGATTGCTGATTCCCTCTTCATTCACACGCATCGTGTCACAACGACACAGCAAACACGAAGAAATGATCTATATCATGCATGCGTATATTTTGAGACTGAAATTTCGAAAAAACGTTTTATTCGAGTTACCTCCCTTATATCAATTTGATTACTCTTCGAAAGTGAAAATATTTTGCAAATCTTTTCCGTGAGTGAAGTGTTCAATGTAAACAAATTTACAGATGTGGACCGGTATACATTACTAGAAAGACTAAATTTAAAATCTTCTTGATAAAATATTTTCATGTAATATTTCACATCTATATAACGAAATCGCCGCCGATTAGGCTAGCCGAATTCGCATTAGATTATTGTTAGCAAATTTCGCGATAGAATAGGTTAGCAGAATTCGCATTAGATTATGGTTAGCAGAATTCGCGATAGAATAGGTTAGCTGACTTCGGAATAGAATAGATAAGCTTTGTTAAAGATGTGTTCCGTTTAAAAGCCGATAACAAGGAAAAATCGTGATGTAAACAAATTGAACGGGGAGTTCCTTCCTGTGCAGTAGACTTCAGGTAATATATAAGATACCTGCCATCTTTTCTCGCAGACCATGGTAATCCGTTTTACCCTAAAATCTAATCCTAATGATTACCAGTTGGGGGTAAAATATACAAAACATCCTTCCTAACAGATGTTGTGACCACGCGCACAGCACGTGTAAATTACATACGTGTTCTATTTCGGACGGAAGTTGGACTGTAACGTTTCATCGAATAGGAATCCAGATTAAGCTCTGCCATATGGTAAAGAGAACTGGGTTTTCGACGCTACACCGCTTAATATCATATTCAGGGTATTATAATACTATTGGTAATCTACTCATGGGTTTCTGTTTCACAGAAATATACCAATTTCCAGCTGAATGACTGATGAAACATTCTCAACCTGTTAATCACGATGGAAGTATGCTAATTGTGAAAATTATCAATATTATTGACCGGAAGTGGTCGTCCCGGTATGACTGGTCATAACTTCATTACCCAGTTAAATGTATAATCACGACTGCACACAGTATAGTCGATAATTGTGAGCACTTGTTCAACATCCACGTGGCATAGAGCCGATCCCCGAACATAACGCTCCATAACGAGGCATGTCATTTCGATGATTAGGCAGAGTAATTAAAAGTAGATCGATAACGAGGCTTCAATCAATTAGTGGATATCTAGGCGAGGATGGACATTTTCCATCGATTCTTACACAAAGGAACTGGACAGCGGACACTATCTTGTCAATCTATACGCGATGGACTTTAACACACGTGTTGTGTTTCATGTCCACTAGTAGGATTTGTCTTTTTTTTTGTTTTTGTTTTTGAACATGGTTTAAAAAATTACAGAAAAAAAACACACAAACAAAAAACGCACATATGTCGAAAATATCTATATATTTATTTGGTATTATCTGAAAACTAAATGATGTTATGGCATTGAAATCTCCTCTTTTCCGCTTTATTTTAAGAATCAATACCGTGTTTTTTGTTTGTTTGTTTTGTTTTGTTTGTTTGTTTTTGTGTGGAGGGATGAGGTTGCTGTATAAATAAAGACAGGTTCCTCAGAATGAAAGGACATAGTCGTTTACTTTATCAGTAAAGAGAAACGCCATGAAGAAAAAAAACGAAAACATATACCGATATATGATGAAATTTCATAAGGCGATGTGGCGAGATCAGGGAACGGAATATCTTTTGAGTCACGTCATCGTACTAATAACGTAAAAAAGGAATGGTTCTATTCATTATGTCGAAACAAAATGTATTTAATTGAAAGGAAACAGAATACAGATCATATTATTTGTACAGTGACTTGGACGATAAGAATTTTTCAAACGAAACACGTGAATCTATTGGCAGGGGAGGCGTAACACGACACTGTATGAGGGAATTCGAAGCTTGTCTGCCTAGTAACCGCAGAACCAAGGGAGGGTCTAATGGAAAAAAAATCCCACAATCGTCGTGGGTAGTTTCCATTTGCCTTTGTGTAATAAGATACTTTTTCTTATTCTATACAATACATTTATTT